AAACCTGTTAACTGCTTGGAATAGTTATTATAGCAAAATTTTCATTCAAGTGAGGAATAACCAAGGGCAGGAAGTATGTATGCTTGTGTGCGTACTGTGTAAGCCAAGGAACTGCATTAGCAGATACTCGCTAATATTAGATCCAGCCAAGTCCAAACGCATTCCAGGGGCTGTGTTTCTGATGTGTCAACAATATTTATCGTTCGAGGGCGGATACAGTTTTAACAATACAAAGAATATTTTTGCACAGCTCTATTCCTTGAATAATTCTCTTCAACGCCTCATTCCTAGTTAAGCGAATTAGCCCACCCTGGTTGAATAAATAAGGCGATTTCGCCACAAGGTCGCGGAAAACCGACCGAAAACGGCCGCGCTCAACGTTAATTTGGGCATGCAGACTCTTAAAAACTCGCATTGGGCGGGTAGGGTTTCCCAGGTATTGGCTCCAAAACACCGTATTCGGCTCCCGAATACGTCCAAGTGACCCGCCTCGTTCCTAGTTAAGCTCTAATTAGATCAAGTGACTCATAAGGAGCGAAAAAGCGACAAAAAGCATGAATTTCCCTATGGCGGCGGGCTGCCGGGTTGCCAGACGGCGTACCGGCTATTTCCACTTTTGACACACCATGCGTGGGATTCTTGAGTCTCGTGACAATCGAATAAGGGCCAGAGCCCCATACGCCCATGGGGGCCCATTGGTTGTTTGGGGGGGCCAAATGATATGATGGCCCCCTGATTAGCCTTTGGAGGGGGGAAGGGCATGGCCCTGATCCCCCTCTGCGACCGTCACTGCACTGAAAGTGGAAGGGGGAGGGGCAGAAACAGACATTGCTGGCCCCCAGCCTGTTTGAAACGAGGCTGAGGCACGGTCACCCTGGCCCCCAGCTAGTACGTCTTTGACGAACTATGCCGACCCCAAGCAGATAAGGTCAAGCGTTGGTCGTTTGTATACGCATTCTCCTGCACCGTGCTAGTATTGTCTTAGTATTGCCTATACCTTTTTAGTGCTCGCTGTCCCGCGCCTCGTATTCAACAAAATGCTGTCACCAGGACTCACAGTCTTGTCTCTGATATGGTTTCATTCATTGAGTGAAGGAAATTGCGGTCAATAACGCTGTAGAAACAAAAAGGAATCCTCATTAAAGGGCAAGCTGAATAGTTGTCAAGTTACCGGGTGGTAGGTTAGGTACAGACAGACACTTAAGTCAGCAAAAAGTGGGGGGGGGGGGCCAGTTAACATTGCTGGCCCCCCACCTCCGAAAGTGGGGGGGCCATGGCCCCCCCGGCCCCCCCTGTTCCTACGCCTATGCCCTTGAAGACAAAATTACCGTTCATGCAGATTAGCTTGGTTTAGAGGGTGAAGGCTCATGGTCGAAAAAAATCAACGTGTCTCAGCTTGCGTCTTGGTTCAGCCGCGGACCCTTTTGTTGAAAACAACTGGCACCATGGTGTCACTCGGCCCACTTATCCATGACTGAGTTCGATTCTGGTGGGAAATATTTTCACCCACCTCGGCTCACCAAGGTGGTGAGGATCATTTCTGGAACCATTGCCTGGCTGACCACCGATCAAAACGGTGCTGATTCGCGTAAAAAACGTGAAGATTTCACTCAGTGCCTTCTACATCACACATTACTGCTAAATGTCGCACGATTGCCGCTACGACAGTTAATCTCGCCGTAATCCTCAAGTCTCAACCAACAGGCCAAATTTTCCCACTCCACCTCACCGAACACGTCCCCTCCCCCTCACATGATCCAGGACATCCCCCGGACCGCCCCCCCCTCCCCCACCCACACGTCCCCCAGCCCCGCCCACCCCAGTACGGCTCCCCGCGACCGGTGCAGCCGCCTTCCTCAGTACGGCTCGCTGGGGCCGGGCCGTGACTGCGCCCTGCCGCCGTGTTACGCCCGTGCAGCCGAACCCCCAGCCAGAGCAGCGGTGGACAATAGGTGATCAGCCGAGTCGGGCGCTGTTTACAGCCGCCGAGCGACCCCCGCCGGTTAGCGGACCCCCAGCCACCGGCCACAATACTATCATTACCTAGCTGTTAGGGGCGCGACTGGTCATCTCAATTAATCACCTGCGCGCTCGGGCCCGCCCATATGGCCGAGATCAAAGGTGCCGGTGGCTGGTGGCGCTGCCGCCGCCCGCGGCCGGCCGCGGGCCGCGCGGCGGTGCCGGCGGTGACTGGCGGAGCGCCGGGCCCCGGCCGACACCGGACGTGGTCTGCGCCCGGACAGCGGCCAAATTGAATTCACAGTGGGAGGTGGTGAGAGCGGGGACATTGGTGGGAGCCGACAGCGGAGGCGGGCACTGAGGGAACGGGGGACATGTTTTAGGGATGAACAGACAGACACTGAGGGGCATACAATAAGCACATAGGAAAGTACATCAGTAACACGATAGGGACCCAACATAGGTATCACCGTATCGCCCCGAATAGGAATCTACATGGAGCGCTGGAGAGATGGAAACATGGACATCGGTGCATCGATAGAACGGTCACACATGGACATCGGTCTAAGTATAGATCGGTCCAGACATGGACAACGGGCACATCGCATATGTCCCATGTCCAGGCAGTAATCAGAACAGTCGGCTATTGTGGTTCTCGGTAGGATGTAGGGGAACACACAACACCCAAGCAGAGAGAATAGACAAGAATATATATTATATCACATACATATAGGGGAAGTTGGGGGAACGCCGAAGACTTTTTTTCTGACGCCCGTAGCACGCAAGGTAGACAACATACGCTATTCTTGTTGGCGTCATTCGAGAGGCCAGTCTTTTGCCTTTCAAACATACCAGGCGCATTTGATGAATTCGCATACCGTTAAGCGCACAAACTAAAAATATCAAAGAAGTGACTTTTTCGGCGTTGCCCCGGACTGCGGGGAAAGCCGAAAATGGGAGAAATGATCTACACTGTAAAAAATGCTAACAAACCAGTTAGTTAATTCTTCAAGCAAAATCTAGTATTAAAACACACGTTGTTGCAAAAACGGGTCAGATAACACATATGTTTGCAACCTAACACCACATCCATTTCATCGAAGCAGAAAAGCTAACATTATTGTAAGCCGACAAATATTATCCGTGCAAACCATGCCGTGTTATTTGACAAACATGTTTGTTTATGCTTCCTTTGCCTTTTTTCTGGATAACGTGTTAACTAACAAATCAAACGCATGTTGTAACTCACAATCTTAGTTTTCTTACTACCCTTTTTGTTGTAGCATTACAAAGACCTTAGTTAATTGAAAAATTCGCCATTTTGTGCGCCCCTCTGCGCCCGCCATTGTTCAGTCTGTGCCAATTGTCAGGGAAGGGAGAGGACGTGTGCGTTGTGAAGGAGCTGAGCTGTGGCGTATAAGTGTTGCGTGTGCAGTATATAAGGAGCTGCTGTGGTGTTAACAATAAGAATAATAAGAAGTCAAACAGTGAAATGATATGGATTGTTGGACATGGCTTTCATCCTTACTGGTATATGGTGAGTGATTATGGGAAAGATCAGTGCAGATATTGCTGGCGTTTTAGTGTGGTTTATGTACCTATGTCACTTATTTTCTTTTCAATTGACCCTCCAACCAGGCTTTAGAGGGTCTCAGGTTGGAGACACTGTTCATTTGTTGACTGTCAATTGACGTCTACATATAAGTACATATGACGGACTGAGCAATGAGCATGTTGCACACTAAAACCGCATTAAGCCTTTAACAAGAAATTAATTGTACCTAATTTTTGGTTGGGCACTCAACCAGTGAGCGCGGTGAGGTGCTGTTTTATGCAATTCCTGTCACTGTACCCATGTTGTCAAATAAGATTTTTGTAGACACATGAGCCACCATTGTTCGGTCAGGGAATTTTTGCCCTTTTGTTGCAATTTAGTTTACCCATATCGACAGAAATGAAGCATTCTCAATGTTTTCGTGATAGTTATTTGGAGCCTGTATGGTGTCATGGCTGGTGCGGATTCCTGCAGGCTATATATTATACGGGGAATGCCGACATTGATGTTTTGCCATTTTATCTCAAACTTTATCCAGAATTCATCAAAGCTGACACACGTTTCAAGAGCTTGAGGACGCGGTGCACACTGGAAGTTATAATTGTGTGATATAATAAGAAAATGCCAGGTAAATCATTCCTTATAGGTAACAGGCCGTTGTGTCGGTTGAAAGTGTAATTTGTGTGACTAAAAATACGCGTTGCTATTCTACAGCAGTAAAGTCCACGTAGCGTGCTTTTAACACGTGCGTAATCGCACGTTTTCGGCATTACCCCAACCAGCCATACTTTCATTTGCAGGCCCATAACTTTTCAACGTGCTGTATAAATTTCAAATAGGCAGCACACTTATGCAAAGACATGCTAAAGATTACTTGACCGAATTGGCCAGACAAACGGTAGCATAATGAGTAAAAAATGCAGCTTCAAAGGTGCATGTAGTACAAGGGAAACGTACCTTGAAAACGCTCTTGGCGCCCTCACAGTCGAAGTATTCCGAATGACGACTCGTAACAAACATGCGATAATTGTAGTCACTTAAGCTTCAGAGCATCACTGACAGGTGGCATCCATGTCTTACGGTTTTCGAAATATCTCGAATTTCGGCTTTGCCCCAACTCCGGCATTGCCCCAACTTCCCCTATATGATCACATTCTAACCAGGGCCTTCTAAACGGGACCAACCGCATCTATGCATCTATGATCACTATAGATCCGGTGCGGGGTAACGGTCAGCGTCCACCAGACAACCTGTGAAGGGAGTTATATGTCAGTGAAAATAAGCACAACGCAAGATGTGTGCATAGTGCACTGCGTCTCGAGTGCACTTTTACTTGTGACGCACGCCACTGCCGGCCACCGATAAAAATCTGCAGGAGACACGTGCCAATATGCAATATGCTCCCACCACTCTAGTCATGAGAGCATGCACATATGTTTCCTACTTAGATATTAGGTGAGACCCATGAGGCCTCCAGACAGCTGGCAGTTTCAGATAGACGTGTGACAAAACACGCCACACAGGCAACGACAAGTGAGCGGGCGACGCCGGTACATTCTTCACGCCGCTTAGGTAAGCGAAATTGCTATGATCCAGTTCTGCTTTCTTATATTTCCCTGTTTTCGCATTTCCTGCAACAATTTGTGTGACATTTTGTTTCATTTTATTATTTCTGCATTGGGATAAGAGCAGAAGTGGTTTTGTTAGCTGAAACTGCTCGCCCCCGACCAATTTTCTTCCTCCAATCCTGTCTCCGGCAGCCCTGACGTCGACTGCTCTGTCTCTGACGTTGACTGCTCTGCAGAAGCTCCCGTCACGATGTCTCCGCTACCGTCGCTGCTGCTGACCGTGCTGATGTCAGCGGGAGCCGTTCGCGCCGGCTGTCCGACCAATGTCGACTGGGTCGAGTTCGAGGACTTCTGCTACTGGCGCTCCACGTATCCTTCCACGTGGGCGGGGGCAGTCGCCGCATGCCAGACCTTGGGCGAAAGCTCGCAGCTCGCCTCGATTCACTCACTGGTCGAGAACTCGTTCATCATGCAGACCTACAACTATGCCGAGACGTGGATAGGCCTCAACGACATCGACACCGAAGGCCAGTTCGTCTGGTCCGACGGCACAGACGTGGACTTCACAAACTGGCGGCCGGGGCAGCCGGATAACCACGACAACGAGGACTGCGTGGAAGTGCCTGATATGAGGGACCCTACAGCCGAAAGGTGGAACGACGGCAATTGCGACCTCGACTTCCACTTTATCTGTAAGATGCCAGCCTCCAGCTAAATGTGCATCAATGCTGACGAATGACGATAAATATGACTGGTTATGAATGAATACGCGCGAAAAGTCACACGTCGGTGCAGAGTAGTCGTTTTTTTTGTTGATAACGTCACTGGTTTTATTGCTTCAGTTATAAATACAAAATTGGTCCCCTCGCTTTCGACGCCCATGACTCGTGAGTCCATTACAAAAGCCCCTGTGGTCACCAATGTTTCCATTTACAGCCCTAAATACAATACCAGCCATTTCCAGTGTCTGTCGGCGCTGCGGCGTTCATGGCGCGGCGGTGACAGTGCCGAATCACTGTCGCTCTGTTTCTGTAAGCACCCGCCCGGGGGGCAGTGTCGGGAGCGTGAGAGCCGACCGTGCAGCGCGCAGCGGGACCGCCCGCCGCGCCGCCGCCGCCGCCGCGCCGTTCATTCAGTCGCCGCGTCGCCGACACGATGAATGGCGCGCCGGTGCGCCGCCACTCGCCACCTCTGCGCCACCGTGGCCGCCGGCACGGCACAGTGATTGTGCACGATGTGAGCGTGTGTTGTGCACACCGCCTTCAGTAGAGTAGAACATATATGTGCATTGTGCATCTTTCAAGCTTGTTTGGGTGTGACAACTACTACTCGTACAAAATCGATGCAAAAAAAAAAAAAAACACGGCATGATTTGACCACCCAGCTACAGAGATGAGCCCTAAAATACATTTTTGAAATTATTTTAGCATTCCAAATGGCTACAACCATGATAAGCCCTGCTGAATTCATGAGTTTGACAGCATTAATCAGAAATAACAAAATATCAATTGTGTTGTTGGTCTGGCCTGATCAATGCTCTGCCGCACTGGTCTGCTGGTGAACGGTGACCGTCGGGCATTCGAGCGATAAACAGGTGACAGGTTATTCCTAGAGGGGTTGGTGTGCAGTTTGTTGTGACGGAGCGCAGTGTATATGCATGTATGTATGTAATACATTGGCCTAAAATTAAAAATCCATACACCGGGACTGAGTGGCCTTTCGGGATTTGCGTCGCTACAGCATGGTACAGCATAGAACGAGGCATTAAACACTGTAAAAGTGATACAAAGATAAGGGTCATAAATACATATAAATGCTGTACGATAAAGTGCTGAAACATAATAGCTTAAGAAAGTGTACTGTTAAAAGCAAGAACTAAAGAATAGCGCGCTTAAACTGCCGGATGGATCGCAGTTCAGTGACTCCAGCCGGCGGATAATTCCAGGTGACAGTGGCGCGATATCTGAAGATACGCTGGGTATATATGCAGTATGTAACTATGTAGATGTCAGTCTGCACTGCGGTCGGCGGCAGCTTGAGCCGGCCTGCGCCTGTGGAGCAAGTTGAGCGGTTCGAGATCACCGACCTCGCTACAAACATGGAACGGATGGTGGCAGGTCCAAGTTCCTGCACCAAAGCTTATGCATTTTGTGTGTTGGATTGCAAAGCATTGTCGCAGGTACCCGCCGGGCAGCGTGGTGTGGCCGCGGCGCGGCGGTGGGTGGCCCGCCCACCCCGGCGGCACCATTAGCCGGGCACCGGAGCGGCGCGGAATGGCGGCGGTGCCGTGCCGCCGCCGCGGACCGCCGCCACTTCCCGTCATCGGTGACGGACGGTGACGGCCGCCGCACAATGCCGCCTTCATCGGCAACCCCGCCCCGGCCCGCCCCGGTCCGCCGCGGTCCGACCGCGACGCCCTCGGCGCGCGTTTCGCCGGAGATGAGCCGAGAAATATCACCGCCGAGACCGGAACCAGGCGGCACACCGCGTTGAGTCGTCTAATCAGTATCCAGCGCTCCGCGTGCTTGTTGACGCCAGCCATGCGACTGATCTTTGGGAGTCTTCCCTTATTTGCTTCATCTTCCATGCCTATTTTGAAGCGGGACTCATGAGCGTCGAGCGGCGACTTGTAACACCTTATCGGCGGAGCAGTGCTTCCCGGCCCCATGGTCCAGCCTGTGCGCCATCCGGACAATTTCCGTGAAATTGCGGGGGGGGGGCGACTCCCTCGGGGCGGCGGCGGGAATGTGCGCCGCGGCGGCTCGTTTGAAGTGCTGCGGCGGCTGCGGCGCGGCGGCGGCGAGACTGGCGCGCCGCAGCTGGCGGGCGTCGACCGTCGGTCGCGTTACTGCCCGGGTCGTGCCCGACGACCGTCGCCGCGTCTGATGGATTGCCGCTAACAAGACGTCGCCGATCGGCCAGGGGCGGCTACGGCGAGAGCACAGGGGCGCTAAATTTGAGGACGGGAGGTGGTTGTCCCAACAGGTCAAAATAGGCCAGAAACGCTTGTCTCATTAGCTGGGTGCACCCGAAGAAAAAAAAGTTCAGTTTGTCTGACAGATGAACCAAATTAGAGCCAAAAGAGCTCTTTTTTGGTCTTTGTGTCATCGCTGCCTTTTTGTTGCTTGACAGTGTTTGCCGCTGATTGACCGGCGCGGCATTGACCATTTCTCAGTGACGGTGAGCAGTGAGCACAAACCCTTACTCGACGGCGGTGGCGCCGCGGAGGATATCACGGATACGGAACATTGTCCGTAACCCAGCTCACGACTCACGGGTACAGTGGCCACAGTGGATGCGTACACGCCAACAGCTTTGATCTGATAGGAAATGGCTGATTCAGCTGTTAAATAGTATGATCGTTTCATTAATTAGCTTGTACCTACTACTTAATGCTTGCCAATACTTACAACCTATGTTACTATGTACAGGCTGTGAATAATAAGTTGCATGTTAAGCTAAGCATGATCCAAAAGCCACAACTACAGCCACAGACTTCATGAGGGATGGGGCAAAATAGGTGATCGATTTGTGCTCAGAAGAAATGCGGGTAAGTGGGAAGATATAAGTTTTCTGACCTCTCTTAGTCTGGACAGTAGACGAAAACCACCAGGTTCCCGGGCTTGGTGTGCCGCGTCGCGCCCCTCATCGTCGCCACCGACGACTCCACTGCCGCCGGCGCCGACGCGGCCGTAAATTTCGGCGGATCTCGGCCGCAGACACATGGAAAGATATGACGGCGCCGGTGTCATAAGATGTGGGATGGCAGACGATAAGTGGGCACTTCTGAGACGGACGCCTTAGTCGGGGGTCAAATGGATTATTCACGGTGTTTTAAGTGTTAAGCGCAGCATTCGCTTCGGTTCGCTTTGCAAAGTGAGGGATTGACCATGGCGTTTAATTCGATTAAGATGTGGCATATTCATCTTCTGCAGCGCGAGTTGTTTCGTTTGTGGAAATTTGCGAGCTTGTTGCTCCGTCGACTGTCACAGTTGGCACATGGTAAACTCATGCATTATGATAAAATATGTTTTATTTCAGTAAACTGCAATCTCCAGAATAGGTTTCTGAGCCGGTCGCTATGGGTCGCATTGGCTGCCAAGCAGAGAACACAAGCTGAGGTACCGATTCGAGTCACTTTTAGACCCTCCCCAGTCAGCACACTTAGTCACTACTGTAGTCACAGCCGTCAAGATCTATACAATCTGTCACCCGGATTCATCCGTCACTTCTCGGCTGCCATGTGGGCGGCGGCGGCGGCGGCGGCGGCGGCGGCGGCGGCGGCGGCGGCAGCGGCGGCGGCGGCGGCGGCGGAGCCACATCTGTAGCCGGTGTCACGGCCGTTGGAAGCCAACAGGGCGCAACCAAATCGGTGTAACGACACCGCCTTTGCCGCCGCCGCCGACGTCGCCTCCACCGTCGCAGCCGACACGACGACCGGCCGTTTTTTGGGGCGATGTCGACTCTAGTGGTGTCAATTTCAGAAAACGTATGTCCAAAGTCCGTCCAATGTCCAGTGCTTACGTCGATTGTCCGTCCAAAAATGTCCAAGCCAGCCATTTGTCCAAAGATGTCCAACACCTACGCAATAGTTTACACTCAACACTGTTATTTAATTTGCTTTTCATGTACCGTTACAAGCTCAAAAGTGTTAATCATATCGAAAGCTGAGCTTTCTAATAGCCAATCAATGTTAAACACGACTACTTTTTAAAAATGTTGAGGTGTAGCAAGCGATTGTCCAAAGTTGTCCAAAGCCTGCTGCCATTGTCCAACCGAATTCCGAATTGGACATTGGACAAAATCGGAATTCCGAAGATTCAAGTTCCGATTGACACCACTAGTCGACTCCGTCGTCGGGTGCTGGCAGAGGCGGGCGGGGCGGTCCGCTTTGACGTCGGGTCGGCCGTCAGGCGCGCGGCGGCCCAATGCTCTGAGCCAGTGACAAATGACACCCCAGCCGCCCGGTTAATTTGTGAAATGACTCATGAAGGCGGCCACCTGATACCGGCAGAAGCCCGAGGGGGATGGGCGTATTATTTCATGGACTTTATCACTCAATTATGAATAGTAGGCCGACATGCGATCAGATTCGCCGCCGGAATAAGCAAAACCTTCGATAGATTCCACGTTTTCTGTGCATTTTAAGTTCCGTAAATTATATAGGTAACGCTAATTCATAATGCTCATATTTCTACGAAGAAATGGCTATTGACCTGAATTAATCCTTTGAAATTGTGCTATGATAATTCCTGCTAAATTATGACTTTGGTAGAATTCAAAGAAACCAAGGAAAATACTTTCTGGATGACATCTCCTTGAAATTGTATGTTAGGTAAGATTGGTATAGGTAAAAGACTGAAACCAAGGTAAACTTTGACGTCTATAGGCACACCAATTTTGTGTACTTCCAAGCCTCATGCCCCAGGTGGCAACTGGCTCACTACATCTATTCATTTTCGGGGGTGACTTGCCCTTATCAACTGTGTTTCAATCCGTGACCATTCGGGCCAGTTTTGGCGCCAAAAATTCGTCCCATTGGCGTGTTTGTCGCGTCACCGTGGCGACTGCCGTTGCGGTCTGACACTCGACTGAGCTGTGGAACGGTCGTGTTTGGCCGTGACGGGTCACGGAGGGAGGCACAGAGACGGTGAGGTAAAGACGGAGATGTGAGGTAGGCACAGAGACGATGATGTGGCCACAGAGACGGTGATGTAGCCGCAGAGATTTAGATCTAGACACAGAGACGGTAATGTAGGCTCAGAGACGCTGATGCAGGCTCAGAGACGAGTGAGCAGGCTCAGAGACTGCGATGGACCAGCTACTGGTGTGGAGATAGGGGGATGGGTAGTGGTCAGCACACCCACTGCTGACGATCTGAGCCGCAGACGGGCCAGCGCTGCCTCCGCTCTGAGGAGATGAGAATCGGTCAGTGTAGCAGCACGCGGTATTAGGCAGGGGCGGGGAGAGTTTCAATGAACCACAGGGAGTTAGGTAAAGTGGATGTGTTGAAAGGCACAAGAAATAACACCTCTATTTTGTGAAATTATATTGCTAGAATGAATTAGCAACTGAGAACCGGTAATCTGACAATCGGCTCAAGAAATCCAAGCCACATATTTCTCCTCTGTTCCACTCGTGCAGCTTTTCCCGTGGTTCCTGATTCCTCACCGGCGACCCCACCATGTCCGGTGTAAGTTGACGTGTGTCGGAAGCCTGCTCCCGCCCCTCTGAACCGGCGCCAGCGGCGGGCCTTTGTGACGTCACTAAGTGGAGATGCCCGCTCACGCATTGCCATACCGCCGTCCTGTCCCCTCCCCACCCCGACGGCAGCCCCGTCGGAACCGGCGCCTTCCCGTCGGAACCGGCGGCACCACCAGACCGTGCGGCGCCGTCTCCCCTCCGTACCGGGACCGGCCGGTTAAAGCCAAAGGGGAGAGAGCACCTCCGGTTTCAAAAGAGTGGACACACCTTACTCTATCGAAATCCTATTTTTGTAGTTTTGAATTGATACCTGTGCATTATATGCTGCCTTTTTTTCCCTGTAATGCCCACCGTCTGGTGGTTAGAGGAAATACACGATGTAATAATAATAATAGTAAATAATATATTACCTATTTCTTTGATGGTTTCAAGAACGATGTCATTGTAGCAGCAATGACATTCCTAGCATTCCAAACAATGGCATAGGCTTGTTTTCTGGAAATGTTTTCTGGATTCGCGACAAATGTCACAAATCCAGCATGAAATGAAATATAGCATATAAACGGGACTGCACATGAAGAATCTATGCAACATTCTGCCTCTTCATGCCAATAT